CCCCACCGCTCCCACACCACCGACAAAGAGCGGCCACCGTGGAACGCGACAATTACATTTTTGATGACATCACCATTGCAATAAGTGCTCCATGGGGCTATTATTGCACACGCTGTGTATGAACTCACTCTGTCTGTTGTTGTTGTATCATCAAATATAGTAACTCAATCTTAACCCACTTACCAATGTGGTATACTTATGTCATAATGATGACAACACTGTATTCTAGCGTAAAAACATATTTTTCAACAATCTTTTTTTAACACGTTATGTTTCAGCTTGGGTGTAATTGTCCACGCTCAACTGACGTCGTTGGCTGTAAATCTCCACGGTCCCCTTACGTCGTGGCCAAGCCTCGGGGCCACTTCCTGGAGTCGTGGAGTTATTCCGTTACCAGTAGGGTACATTAAATTAAAGAGTGTTTTAAAAAAAAAAGTATTTTAAAATATTACTTATTAATGTAATAACTCACAAACGTAAAACATGTTTACGCACGTGAACTCTGCGTAACATTCCAGTTCCAGTAAAGATTTACAGAACGTAACTTCTTCACTTCAAGTCGAGCACCAAACGCCTTGAAATCACCGCAACTCTTTAACCCTTCCGCCCATTGCAATAAGCGATCCATAGAGTTACACGTTTAACAGCTTACACGTGTATATGTGTAAGCTGTTACACATGTATATGTGTAAGCTGTTACACGTGTAACAGCTTACACGTGAATATGTGTAAGCTGTTACACATGTATATGTGTAAGCTGTTACACGTGTAACAGCTTACACTTGAATATGTGTAAGCTGTTACACATGTATATGTGTAAGCTGTTACACGTGTAACAGCTTACACGTGTATATGTGTAAGCTGTTACACATGTATATGTGTAAGCTGTTACATGTTACATGTGTAACAGCTTACACGTGAATATGTGTAAGCTGTTACGTGTATATGTGTAAGCTGTTACACGTGTAACAGCTTACACGTGTATATGTGTAAGCTGTTACACATGTATATGTGTAAGCTGTTACATGTTACATGTGTAACAGCTTACACGTGAATATGTGTAAGCTGTTACACGTGTATATGTGTAAGCTGTTACACATGTAACAGCTTACACGTGTATATGTGTAAGCTGTTACACATGCATATGTGTAAGCTGTTACACATGTATATGTGTAAGCTGTTACACGTGTAACAGCTTACACGTGTATATGTGCATCTACATTCACTTCGTCACTTCCCAAGTCTGACATCGTACACCTTAAATCAACGCACTCTTATTAACGCTTTCCCATGCCACCCATTGCATTGTCCCACAGCGTTATAAATGTAATAACTCGCACATGTAAGTACGCCTTAAAATCACCGCAATCTTTGACCCTTCCACCCGTTGCAATAAGCGCTCCACAGAGTTCTAAATGTAATAACTCCCAAATGTAGAAACTGTTAACGCGTGTAAACTTTGCGTACCATCCGGTTAAAGCAAAGATTACAGAACAGTCTTAAAACTTCACTTCCTTCACTTTCCAAGTCTGACATCGTACGCCTTCAAAACCACCACACTGATAATTATTAATGAACCCTTTCACATTCCGGAACCCCCCCCCAAAAAAGGCTGCTCTATGGGTGGAGGCCGGTGGCCAAGTGAAATTGCCCTCCCCGTGCCTCCCTGCGCGAAAAAAAACGAACGCCGAACGCTCGCCAGCGACCGGCTTATGCCTCGGCACGGGAGAGGGGAGGGGTCAATCAACGAACTCGCCCCGACGGTCGAAGCCACGGGCGGTCAGGATCCCTGGCGGTCGTTTCTCTCTCCTCCTCCTTCGCCCGGCCGTCCGCCTAAACCACGAAGGCCCGGAGCGACGTCTTCACGGCGACGCGGCACACGGGACACCGGCTCAGGGAGAGGGCGCAGTGGCCGCACGTGGCCACGTGTCCGCACGGCACGAACATCGTGGACACCTCGCGCTCCATGCACACCTTGCAGGACAGCCGCTCTTCCAGCTTGTCCAGAAGCTCCTCAGTCGATGGCGCTGCTGTGGACAAAAGCGCGCGCAGACGCACGCGGAGACGCACGCGGAGACACACGCGGAGACACACAGAGACACACAGACACACGTGCAGACACACAGAGACACACAGACACACGTGCAGACACACAGAGACACACAGAGACATACAGAGACGCACAGAGACACACGCGCGCATGCACAGACGCAAGCGCACGCGCAGACAGACGCACACACGGGCACACCCGCACACACTTTCAGCGGTTTCAAAAAGTGATGGTCGATCATCACCAGACTGCTTACATATGGAGCGCAAAGTTGGCGAGATGTTGACCACCTCGTCTGGTATACATGAGGTCGTGACTCTCACCAGTATCAGACTCTCACCTGGCTCAGACCCTCACCTGTATCAGACTCTCACCTGTATCAGACCCTCACCTGTATCAGACCCTCACCTGTATCAGACCCTCACCTGTATCAGACTCTCACCTGTATCGGACCCTCACCTGTATCAGACCCTCACCTGTATCAGACCCTCACCTGTATCACCCTCACCTGTATCAGACCCTCACCTGTATCAGTCTCTCACCTGTATCAGACCCTCACCTGTAACAGACCCTCACCTGTATCAGGTGAGGGTCTGATACAGTGCGCAGGGATCCGTCGTCTTACCGTGCTCAATCTCCGCGGTTGTACTCTGCGGCGTCTGTCCCGGTAGCGGAGCCTTTGAACCGACAAATAAAGATGAACATCGTCGCGTGTAAGAATCATCGCCGGTGTCACGCAGAAGAACCGAAAAAAATGGATAAGTTACGCAGGCGACGACCGCTCGCGTTGAAAACGATCGCGACTTTTTGCACCGTCACTCTGCGCTCGATTTGCAATCGGTGTGTCGGCAAACCAAACGGAACGACAAGAGCCGGCTCTCGATTGTCGCCGCTAACGACGGGGGGCAGGGCAGCTGCAGACGGCTCAAAATCGCGCAGCATCCAAAAAGATAAAATAAAAAAAATTTCCGTGGATCTCTACGCCAAAAACACCGATTATCCCCATAGTTATACATATAGTTATATAGTACATTCAATCTGGCTGTTGCCTGATGAAGCTCGTTGTTGTTGTAATTACTGGTGAAACGTCGTACTCAGATTCTAAATGTTGTGGCTTGGCTCTCCAACACACCGGTGTGAGCTGTACTAGTATTATACACTATACACTACTATACTATTATACACTACTATACTATACACTACACTATACACTACACTACTACACTATACACTACTATACACTATACACTACTACACTATTATACACTACTATACTATACACTACTATACTATACTATACACTACTATACACTACTACACTATGCATTATTACACTATACACTACTACACTATACACTATTATACACTATACACTACTATACTATACACAACTATACTATACACTACACTACTATACACTACTACACTATGCACTACTACACTATACACTACTATACTATACACACTACTATATTTACAATAAGCATATTGGTAATAAAACCACATTCTTTTTGTATTTTTACCCCTGAATGATGAACAACATTTCAAGCTGCCTGCGAAGTTTAAGTTTGAGTCTATTTGTGTTCAAGACCGCTGATAAACTCCATCAAGAGACGAGGCTGGTCTCGTCTGTTCAACGACCGGAGTTGACCAAGGTCAACGTTAAAAAACTAAACAAAAAATCGTACGTGCGGCGCGTTCGCACGCCGGCGTTAAACTCGATTCTCCTGCGAAACCAAAAGTTGGCGAGAAAATGTTTTGTTACCGGCGGCCGCGTCGACCCGCGGACGAAAGCTTCCCCCTTCTGTCGTCCAACAAACACGCAGCTGTTCAGCAAACGACGCGGGAAGAGAGGCGGGGGGAGGGGGGTCATTATTTTACGCCGGCTGGGTACAATGTGGTGGATGTATTGGGGAGCACGTCACCATTATTATTATTTATATTATGATCTTATAGTGAGATGGTTGTATTGGGGAACACATTATATCTATTATTTTATCGCGTTTATTATGATTTTGTTATTATCTTATAATGCGTTGGATGTATCAGGGAACACATCATTATTATATAATGCGATGGATGTGTTGGGGAACACATAATTATTTAATATTTACAGTGAGGGAAAAAAGTATTTGATCCCCTGATGATTTTGTACGTTTGCCCACTGACAAAGAAATTATCAGTCTATAATTTTAATGGTAGGTTTATTTGAACAGTGAGAGACAGAATAACAACAACAAATCCAGAAAAACGCATGTCAAAAATGTTATGAATTGATTTGCATTTTAATGAGGGAAATAAGTATTTGACCCCTCTGCAAAACATGACTTAGTACTTGGTGGCAAAACCCTTGTTGGCAATCACAGAGGTCAGACGTTTCTTGTAGTTGGCCACCAGGTTTGCACACATCTCAGGAGGGATTTTGTCCCACTCCTCTTTGCAGATCTTCTCCAAGTCATTAAGGTTTCGAGGATGACGTTTGGCAACTCGAACCTTCAGCTCCCTCCACAGATTTTCCATGGGATTAAGGTCTGGAGACTGGCTAGGCCGCTCCAGGTCCTTAATGTGCTTCTTCTTGAGCCACTCCTTTGTTGCCTTGACCGTGTGTTTTGGGTCATTGTCATGCTGGAATACCCATCCACGACCCATTTTCAATGCCCTGGCTGAGGGAAGGAGGTTCTCACCCAAGATTTGACGGTGCATGGCCCCGTCCATCGTCCCTTTGATGCGGTGAAGTTGTCCTGTCCCCTTAGCAGAAAAACACCCCCAAAGCATAATGTTTCCACCTCCATGTTTGACGGTGGGGATGGTGTTCTTGGGGTCATAGGCAGCATTCCTCCTCCTCCAAACACGGCGAGTTGAGTTGATGCCAAAGAGCTCCATTTTGGTCTCATCTGACCACAACACTTTCACCCAGTTGTCCTCTGAATCATTCAGATGTTCATTGGCAAACTTCAGACGGGCATGTATATGTGCTTTCTTGAGCAGGGGGACCTTGTGGGCACTGCAGGATTTCAGTCCTTCACGAGGTAGTGTGTTACCAATTGTTTTCTTGGTGACTATGGTCCCAGCTGCCTTGAGATCATTGACAAGATCCTCCCGTGTAGTTCTGGGCTGATTCCTCACCGTTCTCATGATCATTGCAACTCCACGAGGTGAGATCTTGCATGGAGACCCATGCCGAGGGAGATTGACAGTTTTTTTGTGTTTCTTCCATTTGCGAATAATCGCACCAACTGTTGTCACCTTCTGACCAAGCTGCTTTGCAATGGTCTTGTAGCCCATTACAGCCTTGTGTAGGTCTACAATCTTGTCCCTGACATCCTTGGAGAGCTCTTTGGTCTTGGCCATGGTGGAGAGTTTGGAATTTGATTGATTGCTTCTGTGCACAGGTGTCTTTTATAGGTAACGAGCTGAGATTAGGAGCACACTCTTTAAGAGTGTGCTCCTAATCTCAGCTCCTAATCTCAGCTTGTTACCTGTATAAAAGACACCTGGGAGCCAGAAAACTTTCTGATTGAGAGGGGGTCAAATACTTTTTTCCCTCATTAAAATGCAAATCAAATTATAACATTTTTGACATGCGTTTTTCTGGATTTTGTTGTTGTTATTCTGTCTCTCACTGTTCAAATAAACCTACCATTAAAATTATAGACTGATAATTTCTTTGTCAGTGGGCAAACGTACAAAATCAGCAGGGGATCAAATACTTTTTTCCCTTACTGTATATATATAAATTTCACGGGCGCAGCAGGTGCCAAACGCCTCACCTGGGAAACCACTTTGCGTGCTCATGCCAAGCGCTGTCTCCCAGCGCCCACTCTTGTAGATGACCGTCGCAGCTGAAGCACTTCACAAGATCTCCGTAACCTACTCAAAATAGAAAACACGTTACAGGGACCTCTCCCCTACTTATCGACACTGTCGACTTTTCAGAGATAAACAAACCCATCCAGTTGCCCGTTCGGACCGAGAGTCCTAAGTTCAACCGCCTCACAATAGTTGGAGGTGGTGGCATCAACATCTGCAGAACGTGAAAAACCAGTGGCATTTACATCTACAGAACGTGAAGAACCAGTGGCATTTACAGCTACAGAATGTGAAGAACCCAGTGGCATCAACATCTGCAGAACGTGAAGAACCAGCGTCATCTACATCTACAGAATGTGAAGAACCAGTTGCATCTACATCTACAGAATACGAAAAACCAGTGGCATCTACATCTACAGAACAAGAAGAACCAGCGTCATCTACATCTACAGAACGTGAAAAACCAGTGGCATCTACATCTACAGAACGTGACGAACCAGTGGCATCTACATCTACAGAACGTGACGAACCAGTGGCATCTACATCTACAGAACGTGAAGAACCAGTGGCATCTACATCTACAGAACGTGACGAACCAGTGGCATCTAAATCTTCAGGAGATTATACAACTTGTAAAGGCATTCCCGTGTTTCGTGTACACACTCTACAACACGTTTGGAACCGACAGGACTTCGCACTCCTATCGTGTTTTTGTAAACCGTTCGTTGCCGTGACGTTCTTACCCCCCGTGCCCGGACTGGACATCATGCGAAAAAGAGCTTCACAGCTCAATGGATTCCTCCAGTATAGATAAATATTCTGATTCTGACCTCCCTCAGGTGTTTGACCAAAACTATTAACCAACATTGATACTATTTTATGATACCAGGTGTTAGGACCATTGAGTTGCTATTTAGCTCTTTTTCAGAGGTGACCACCTGGCTATCACAAACGATAGCTCAACGAAGTGGCTTATCGCATGAGAATTTAAATGCAGCCAAATACTCTAAACGCGTGTTTCTAAATGTGCAAGGAAAAAACCGGAGGACCGGCAGAAAAAATCCACGCGACCACGGGGAGAGAGGCACGAAAATTCCAAATACACATCAGGCGTCAGGATGGAACCCACCACCTCCTGCCTTCCAGGCGAGGTAGCCAACATCTCCGAGCCACCGTGGCGCTTGCCCCCAAAGAGCCGCCCCTCCCCCCACAAAACGGGGACGACTACAGCGCCGGGGAAGGCCTCCACCCACTTCTACGCAGCGGCAGCAGCAGCACAAACCGTACCGGAATAGTAGAAGCCTGCGTAGGCCAGTTCAGGCGGGGACACATTGGCGGTGTACGGCCAGCTCGCGAAAGATCTGAGTCGCGCCCCGAACGAACGCATCTCTGGACTCAGTCCGGAGTCGGCGCCATCCTGAGTGGCCGGCGGCAACGGGGCCTGCGGGGAAAAGGCGCCACCCAGGGACAAACGCAACGACGACAACGGTGACGACGATGACGACTGCGACGGCAGCGTCGACGGCGACGACGGTGACGCAGTGAGCTCATCGAATTGTCCCCGCCCTTTGGAAAGGCTCCCCAGGAAGCCGTGAGGGCATTGGAATCGTTTTTTTTTAAACGACATCTTCGAAACAAAACCTTTTTAGACTGGCCTAAAAAGGTTAAGTCATTTACATGACTTAATACGATTACATCTCCATAACTAGCATAACTTATGCGCATAATTACATCAATTAACGTTATTTTGGATAATTACGCATTTTTTCCAAATTTCATTTCATTTTTATTATTTTATTAAAATTTTCAAGACCCGGCATATACAACAGGTGGGGGAATTTATAGAGAAGATAACATTACAGTAGAATCTTGATTTGAATTACAGTACACTCTGGATGATCCGCGCGCGGTTTGTTCGATTTGCAGATGAACCGCACACCTGAGATTTTGACGGAGATTAAGAACTCGTGGATATTCCCCTGAAGTCCACCTGAAGATGACCGTTTGAGTTATGGTCGAAACGTCGTGAGAATTTTTATTGTTTTATATATATATTATTTTGTTGTTTCTCTTCAACGTGACTTTACCGAAAAAACTAAGAATATAATCTAAAAACAGTTTATACAACAATGGTTAATTCTTGGACATTTTTATTACAAGTCACGTGGCGCTTTAACCGAACAAATACGTTGCCCCGGTTAATCCGAAATCCACGTGACCGCCTCTACGGCAGCTGCAACGTCTTTACAACGGTGGGCAGAGTTTAATTGATTTTGTTGCCGTGGCTCTGCTGTCAAATGAGCGAGCCGACTCTTCAGCGCGGGGAGCGGGAAAGTCTCATCATTGAACATGGTTATAGGCACAAAGCATTGAAGAACTGAGACTCATCTACAAGGGCGCAGCGGTAGCCAGGAGATGTGAACGACCTCGCCTGGTATGCAGGAGGTCATGGGCTCAAAACCCGACCCTGACACCTGCTTCTGCCTATTTGGAGTTTCCGTGTCTCTCTCTCTCTCTCTCTGTTCCCCCCGTGGTCACCACGTGCGAGGGTATTCGGCAAATATAAATGTCCACGCAACGATGCTGAGCCCGCTTTGCTGAGCAACGTCGCTGCTTTGCGTGACGGAGAGGGTCGGCATCTGAAACAAATAGCTACGTCATCGCAGCGCTGAGTAGGGCCCTCGCCAGGTCAAGAATAACTGTGTTAGCACAGGGTGCTTACAAAGAAATGTTCACACTTGTTTTTGGACTATCGTTTTTTAATATAACACGAATCTGACCGCGAATGCACGTCAATGGATTCAACGAGCCAAAGGGTCTCCGCTCGTTCGCCATCGTCGTCTAAACACGCCTAGAATTATCTCCAATCGGTACCCAGAACCCCGAGGCACATCTCTTCGTGCCAATCGTTGCAAATTCTCAGCGGCACCCCGCACTAGTTTTAGGAAAGACCCGGCCTCGCCCCCCCAAAACAAGCGTCAGGACGTCACCGGCGCCGTCGCTGGCGTCACCCACCGCGCGAGCGCAGGCGGGGAAGTGCCTGGCGTGCTCCCGAGCGGGGTCGTCCCCCTCCTCCCAGCGATGCATCATCCCGCCGCAGCGGAAGCAGGCCACCAGGTCGCTGAAGCCCATGCGGTAGAGTCCGGCCCGCGCCAAGTCCGCGGGCCGCACGGGGGACGACCGGGGCCACCCCTTGGAGAACGACAGCAGCCTGGCCGATTCTCTCAGCATCTTCGAGGCCGACGGTCGCGGGATCCGGTCGAAGCGGGGCATCGGGGGGGCAGAGCGTCTCGCCGCCGCCGACGCCCTGCGGGAGGCCCGAAAGTCTACGACGTTCGGCATCGACCCGGCGGAAAAATACGGGGCGATTTGGGGTGAAAAGAATGCTTTTGCGAGGGACGAGTCCGCCCGGGGGTCTCTTGTTAAAGATCGCTCAAGAAACGTCGAGGCCTTCTCCTCCTTTCAAGGTGTCGAAGAGATCCCGGGGCTCGTAGCTCAACGGGTAGTTTAAAAACCGGCGATGGGAAATGGCACGACCCCTGTTGTCACCCTCGACGGCTCCTGAATGCGGGAACAAAAATGTTGGGGCGGCAAGCGTCATTAAAAACGGACATCTTTTAGTGATATTCTTAGCTCTTTCGGTAAAGTCACGTTGAAGGCAAACAATAAAATAATAAAATACATATAAAACAATAAAAATTCTCACGACGTTTCGACCATAACACAAACGGTCGTTATGTTATGGTCGAAACGTCGTGATAATTTTTATTGTTTTGTATATATATTTTATTATTTTATTGTTTCCCTTCAACGTGACTTTGCCGAAAGAGCTAAGAATATGAATTACTGCAGTCACGAAAGCTTTAAATCAAAATAAAATATTTAAGTTACTTGAAATGTTTGGTTTAAACAATTCATCCATACACAAAGGCTTTTTGTGGGTTAGATTGCGTAAATATATTAATGTTAAACCCGCCACCACCCGACACGGCCAACTGGTAAGGGTTGTCACGTAAACAGAACAATCTCTATTATGGATGATATTGGTCGCCAAAGCCTACGTGTTAAGAATTAAACAGTTCAGTCTGTCACTTCTGACAAACTCATGCACAGCAATAAAAGGGGGCACACACAGTCTGGATGGTCCTGTACCAAACGGAGTTTCGAGAGTTATCTGGTGTGAGAAAAACCAACACTACCCATAGACTCAGCACTGCACCATAGACTCAACACTACCCAAAGACTCAACACTAACCATAGACTCAACACTGCCCATAGACTCAACAGTGCCCATAGACTCAACACTACCCATAGACTCAACACTGTACCATGGACTCAGCACTGCACCATAGACTCAACACTGCCCGATAGACTCAACACTACCCAAAGACTCAACACTGCCCATAGACTCAAAACTGCCCATAGACTCAACACTGCACCATAGACTCAACACTGCCCATAGACTCAGCACTGCACCATAGATTCAACACTGCATCATAGACTCAGCACTGTACCATAGACTCAACACTGCACCATAGACTCAACACTGCCCATAGACTCAACACTGCACCATAGACTCAACACTGCCCATAGACTCAACACTGCACCATAGACTCAACACTGCCCATAGACTCAACACTACACCATAGACTCAACACTGCACCATAGACTCAACACTACACCATAGACTCAACACTACACGATAGATTTCGATTTAAAGCTGTCGTGACTGCAGGGATTAATCTTCTTGGTTCTTTAGGTAAAATCACGTCGGTTCTAAACTAATTGTATTTTTACGGTGACCTCAGACCGCAGCTCTTTCGCTGGCACCGCCTCTTAACACCTCTCACAGCACGGTTAACGTTGTGGTTTGTAACGTGGAGTATAACAGCGCCTCGTGGCTGTTTCTCTCCCCCCCCCCTCCTCCGTCCCGAGGAGCGTGGATGGACTCGTCCGTGTGAATGGGGCCCGTCGCTGTCCGTGGTGCTGGAGGTGAGGGGAAGGATCCCACACACTCTGTGGTTCTATTCGGTAAAGTCACCACGTAGGTTAATTAAAATATAAAATAACAAAAATCACGACGTTTCGGCCACAGCACAGGCGGCCTTCATCAGGTGAAGGGACCCTGCTGTCATGATGAAGGCCGCTTGCGTTGTGGCCGAAACGTCGTGAGATTTTTGTTATTTTATTTTTGTTACCTACGTGACTTTACCGAATAGAACCAAAGAGTGTGGATCCTTGCAGTCACGAAAGATTCAAATATAGTAGAAGAATCCACCCATTGTTTCGCCATATGGCATTGTGATATATAACGACTTATTGTTGGTGGCTCAGCTGGTTGGAGAGTATATAGAGTTTATTGATAACATTGAGGTATAGTAATATGTTTTACCCTTTTAACTGGCACAAAAACTGACACCTTTATTCAAGGCATCATATTCTTAGTTTTTTCGGTAAAGTCACGTTGAAGGGAAAATATAATATATATTTTATTATTTTGTTGTTTCCCTTCAACGTGACTTTACCGAAAAAACTAAGAATATGAATTACTGCAGTCACGAAAGCTTTAAATCAAAATTCAAGGCATCATGTTTGTAATAACCACAACACATGATGCCTTGAATAAAGGTGTCAGTTTTTGTGCCAGTTAAAAGAGTAAAACCTATTACTATATCTTGTTACTGGTAAAGGAGGTCTCATAAAACATTGAGGTAGTTTATATTTTAGTTTTGTATTGGTTTACTATATGGCATTCATTATATAGCGTAGTGTATACCCAGTTGCTCTGTGTTAATAGCTCAGCTTATTGAAGAATATACTGAGTACATTCATTATATTGATGTAATTTATACTTCGATTTTATCACATCGGTTTACTGCACGATAGTTGGGTTAGTTGCAGCCCCTTTAGCGTCCACAGACTCAACAACTGCTACACCTGCAAATCGTCTGCAAATTTACAGTTCACAGTTCATTTATTTGGTATAGCCCTGTGAGCCATTCGGCTCTTGAATCGGGTGCAACCGCAACAAACAAAAAACATGAACAAGAAAACATCTTAAAGTGATTATGTGACTGTGCAAACAGAAAATACAGGAAAAAATATCAAAATATTCCTGAAATAGCACCGTACACCAACGCTGTGTGTAAAAATCCCAGTGGGATGCAAGTCAAATAACAACAACAACCACAAGACAACTAAGATTAAGGCCATCAGTCTAACTCCGTACTACAATAAACAAAAACATGGCCAAAACAAAAAAAAACTTTTCGAAATCACCAAAATAAAAGCCATAAATCCAATGTAACAGTGATCATAGGGACTGTGACCGAATTTTTTACAATAAACTACATAAATAAATTATAACACCAAAATCTAGAGCCATATTTAGGCCACTGAATAGCAGTGGCAGCTAGGGTTGTACAACTCCTCTAGAGCAGTTTTGAGTGAAGATCTCATAGGTAGTGATTCAAGTTGCAGTTTATTGGCAATAGCATTCCAGACCCTGGGGGCATCAATAGCAAAGGCCCTTCTTCCAGTTTTTGTATGGCAATAGGGAATGTGAAGCTGGTAAATGAGCGAAGACCTGAGGTCAAATTTGTTCTTTGAAACAGAGAGGAGATCCAGTAGGTAGTCTGCGGAATTTTTTTTAAGTACATCGTGAATAAATAAGATCTGGTGCACAAGCCGTCGAACATTAAGAGATGTTAAGTTTGACCCAATGTAGAGATCACAGTGGTGAGTCCTATATGGGCAGTTCAATGCAAATCTTAAGGCCGAGTGATAGATGGAATCAAGCTTCTTCAGTACAGTACTTGAGGCTGATTTATACACGATGTCACAGTAGTCAAGTAGAGGGCAGTATGGTAGCTTTTATCAATTCCAAACGGAACATTGGGGGGAAGCAGTGCTTGTGTCGATACAGAAAACCAATTTTTTTTTTGTCTTTTTACCAATATAATCAATGTGATCTTCAAAACTAAGTTTTGAATCCAGGATGACCCCAAGATACTTATAGATCTTGACTTGCTCTATTTGATAATTATTCAAGGAATGTAATTGGGGAAAAATAACTTCCTGCTTTAGTCCCGGAGAGAAGCATAGCACCTTGGTTTTGGAGGTATTCAGGACTAGTTTAAGAGAAACTAGCTGATGTTGTAGTTTGTTGAAATCACCCTGGAGCTTAGCAATCACGTCATCCAGGAGAGCGGCCAGCAGTAATCAGTATCGTGTCATCTGCAAAAAGATTTACCCTGGAATGATCCAGTTCAGTGCCCAAGTCATTGACATAAAGAGAGAACAAGAGGGGGCCGAGGATGGAACCCTGTGGAACCCCTTTTGTTATCTTAACACTGTTTGACCTCCAACCATCTGTGAATACAGTTTGGGTGCGAGAAAAGAGGTAATTTTTTAACCATTGTACTGTGTTCTCGGAAAAACCGAGGCAACTTAGTTTACTAAGCAGGGTGTTGTGGTCAACTGTATCAAAAGCTTTGGACAGGTCAAGAAAAAGACAGACACAGTACTGCTTATTATCAAGGCTATTGTAAATTTGATTCAAAGAGTCTAATGCAGCAGATGTGGTGCTGTATTTTTTTCTGGAACCCAGATTGTTTTAGATGTAGTAGATTGTTGGTGGACAGGAAACTGCTAATTTGGTAGTTCAATAATTTTTCTAAAATTTTCATCAATGGGGACAAAATTGAGATAGGTCGCTAGTTATTGGGATCATCTTTAGGGCCCCCTTTGTGAAGTGGACGGACATAGGAATGTTTCCATTCTAGAGGAACTGATGCTTCTTTGATGGACAGGTTGAAAATATGGGCTATAGCAGGGGTCGGGAACCTATGGCTCGCGAGCCAGATGTGGCTCTTTTGATGATTGCATATGGCTCGCAGATAAAACAAAATATTCTCACTTGTTTTAATCCATCCATCGATTTTTCACTGCGCATGTCCTGTTCAGGGCTGCAGGAGCAATTGTCCATTATTTTAATTGGATGATACTGGCCTACGTTTGCCGTTGCTGGGTAAAACAGGTAAACGCCCCCTTTTGAATCAGTCTGAGACTGCGTCTGCTCGGTCATTAGCTCAAAGCTAATCCTTCGACGAAGAAGATGGCGAAAAGAAAAAAGACGACGAGTATCGTACATTTCAGGACGAATGGACCGAAGAATTCGCCTTTGTGGAGAGAGCGGGTTCTGCGGTGTGTCTAATTTGCAATGACAAAATTACATCGTTGAAACGGTCGAATGTAAAGCGGCACTTCGACACGCGCCACGCTACCTTTGCATCAAAATACCCTGCGGGAGACAGCAGAAAGAAAGCGTGCCAAGAGCTTCTGAGCAGGGTGCAAGCTAGCCAGCAGCAACTCCGCGTATGGACCCGGCAAGGTGACTATAATTCGGCTAGCTTTGCTGGTTCTTTAGCAATAGTGAGGAACGGAAAACCATTCACAGATGGCGAGTATGCTAAAACGTTCATGCTGGATGTAGCCAATGAACTTTTTGATGATCTTCCGAACAAAGACAAGATAATCAAACGGATACAAGACATGC